GTAGGTCAGACAGGGACATTTACAATGTAGGTCAGACAGGGACATTTACAATGTAGGTCAGACAGGGACATTTACAATGTAGGTCAGACAGGGACATTTGCAATGTAGGTCAGACAGGGACATTTACATTGGCAAAGTAAGCCAGACACGGACTGTCTCTCACAGCACTGACGGAAACTTAAGGATTCTCAAAGCGATAAACTGCCTTCTTCTGTAGCTCTGAGACCTATATCATCATCATCCAGTGCCAGATCTGCAACAGACATCGGCGATCATAGTTCTCCATTCATCCCTTTGCTCGGATGCTCTTAAAAAAGCTACGTTTCCCTGACCTTTCCCTGTTACCCATTTGTTCAGGTTCCCTAAGTTGGTTGCTCTGGGCCTACCCCTGCCTCGTTTCCCTTCAATTTTGCCAGTGAGAGCTAGATGTTCAAGACCTTTATGTCTATTCAGGTGTCCCAAAAACTGCATTTGTCGTTTCCTGATCGTTTTTAACAGTGAGCGTCCCACGTGGGCTTCATCGAGCATTTGATTTCTTTTCCTTCCACGATATTCTCAGCAGTCTCCTAAGAACCACATTTCTGTTGCTTATATTTCTTTTCCTTCCACGAGAACCTGTATCATAAGGATAGTTTCTTCCCTTGGCTCAGACAGAAAGACTTGACGAGACACGCTATAAAGATTCTCCCCACCCGAGAACCGAACCCAAGGTTTCTGAGTGCGTTGACGAAACGTCTAAACGCTACACCACGCACGCCGGTTCGGGCGAAGAGAGAAAGTGGGTGGTTGTTGGGTGTTCTGGTGTGGTTTGCTCTTCTTTTTCTATCAAACATCTACCGTCCTTATCTCGCCTACTTCTTTTTTGTGTTTGTTACTCTCTTGTAACACCTTTAATCTTCAGCACTTATATGACCTTATTGTGTTACCAGTGCCGTAAAACACTTACTACAACAACAAAAAAGAAGAGGGAAGACAATGACAGCGACTACAACAACGATAACAACGACAACCTCAGCAACAACATCAAATTTTAATACGGAACAAGTTTGCCGTCTATTTCTTTAAAATAATGATAATAATGTTAGTTCTCATACAAAAAATACAACATAACAAACACCTCTGAGATTCTTTTTATCTCATAAAAAGAACAATACTTCAGTTGCAGTCCCTTGACCACTACGCAGGAGCAAAGGGAGGCTTGTTCAAACTATTGAGAGAAAAGTAAGATCAAAGCTTAGGAACAGAAGGAAAGCGAGAGGTGATTTGATCTTTTAAGTATCGGCATCTCAAGGTAAAAAGGGACGAGAGCAGTTAGAGAGAGAGAGTGAGAGAG